CTCGGCAACAGTTAAAGTGAGATTATGAGGGAGAGCTCAGACAATGTTTCAGTTCAATGGCTTTAAATCCCCTCCGCTGTGAAACTCTGATATGTAAGTCAAAAATAGAAGTCAAAAATAGCAGTGAAATGTTAACAGTTCGCAAAGAGCCAACAGGTGAAGGTTTCTTAGGCTTTTTGAAATCCCATTTCAATCTCAGCAATACAGTGTTGAAAAAAATCCTTGCATTTCATATAGGATTTCATCATGTCGTTGAAAAAACTCAAAAGGGCTTCACAGGAGTTCACTATTCACTCTCATGACTGCTTTTCTATGCAAATGTAGCAGTCAAGCAGCACACAAATAGCCGCTGTGGTTTTTAACTTGGGAAATCTTTAGAAATGTGATACCAGACCAGAAAAAAATGAAATTGAGTGAATAAGAAAATCACTTACCTGTCAATCACAGAGCCCAAGAAAGAACAAGGCTCAGAAAGCACTAGACATTTCATACCAATGTAATGTGTAGAACAGACAGGAGAACAGTAAAATAGCACAATGTCCATGCCCTTCATGCATCTAAGTGATGGGCCATCCGAATCAGAAGCATCCAAATTATACCCAAATTTCTCATCATATCAAATAAATCAGAGATGACCTGATCTGATCATTCCAGCATGTTTTCACGGTGATTGCGATGGTCCCACACTCTACAACCCATCCACCAGTCTTTGCAAGAAACATGCAGGAATTGGTTATTTAGATTTTAACACCACCATCCATTCCGTCCTTTACTAAAGCAGCTCAAGTAATGCAGGTCTGAAGAGATATTAGCCAGAACACAATGAGGTGGAAACCGATAAGGTGCAGAACATGCACAGAAGTGATATGCGAAGACCGTGTGCTCCTCTATAATGCACTCTGATATTTGACAATATAAACCAAATGTAGACTGTTTATTGCACCTGGAATTCTAAAAATACCCATCCATAACTCTCAACTTGCACAGCTTCTAACAACAATAAATTACATTTGTATAGCACCTTTCATGTCGGGAAGACGTTCCAAGGCACTGGGCAGTCCAGGATTTGCACCCGAGCTGGGGTGTTGGGATCAAGAGGTGTGAAGGCAGTGGGGGTAGAAAGGTGATCAAAGTTGCGGTCGAAGAGGAAGGTCTTGAGACGGACCTTGAAGGAGACAAGGGAGGGAGATGAAGGGACTGTGGGATGGAGTTCCACAACGTGGGGACAGAGAGGCTGTGGGCCCCACTACCAACAACAACAACTTAGATTCATCCACCCCGGATGGCATCTCAGAGCGCTTCACAGTTACGGTTCCTGGGGCCGAGCCGGGGGGGGGGGGGCGGAGGAAGGTAACCAAAGGCACGGTCGAAAAGAACGGTCTTCAGCTGATTTCTGAAAATAGGAAGGGGGGGTGGGGGGGTGAGGCGAAGGGAGTGAGGGAGTTCCAGAGCCTCGGGGCGTAGTGGCTGAAGTCACGGCCGCCGATTGTGAAGCGGAGTTTTTGGGGGGCAAGGAGGAGGCCAGACCCAGTGGAGCAAAGGCAACGGGCATTGTTTTGAGGAGAGACAAGGTCAGAGAGGTAGGGGGGTGCAGAGGAGTGGATGGATTTGAAGACAAGGGTGAGGATCTTGAAGTCGTTCCTCTCTGGGACAGGCAGCCAGTGCAGTCTGGCAAGGACTGGGATAATCGGGGAGCAGAGTTTGGTGCGGTTAAGAATGCGGGCAGCAGGGTTCTGGATGACCCAAATTTTATGAATGGTAGTGGAGGGGAGACCGGAGAGGAGGGCATTTGAATAGTAACAGCCGAGAGGTGACAAAGGCATGGACCAGGGTTTCAGTGGCTTTTGGAGTGAGGTATTGGTGGAGACGGGCGATGCGTCAGAGGTGGAAGAAAGCGGTGCTGGTGAAGGACTGCACGTGGGGGAGGAAGGATAATTGGGGGTCGAACCTGACGTCTAGGTTGCGTATGGGTTCGGAGAGTTTTAGGGTGTGGTTGGGTAGGTGGAGGAGGTGAGAACCATGTGATTTTAAATGTTGACGAGAGCCAAAGAGCCAAAGCTTCTGTCTTGTCAACATTCAGCTGAAGGAAATTTGCGGTCATCCAGCCCTGAGATCTGGCAGGCAGGCTGACAGAACATCAGGGTGCTGGGGGTCACAATGTGAGGTGGAAAAATAGAGTTGGTTGTCATCCACATACATGTGGAAGTGTACCCCTTGTCTGCGGATGACATCCCCAAGAGAGAGTATGTAGATCAGAAAGAGGAGGGGGCCAAGGATGGATCCTTGGGATATCCTGCAGGTAACTGGATGAGAGCGGGGAGGAGAAGCCGTTTGTGCAAATGTGCTGCTGGCAGTTTGTGAGGTAATAATAATAATCCTTGCATTTGATATAGCGCTTTTCAGGTCTTCTAGACGTCTCAAAGTGCTTCACAGAATAAGCTGTAAAGTGAATTGACTGTATATTTTGTGGGTGAAATGGTAGGACTCGAACCAGGCGAGTGCGGTCCCACTGAGGTGGATGACGGAGGAAAGGCGGTGGAGGAGGATGGTGTGATCGACTGTGTTGAACGCGGCGGAGAGGTCCAGGAGGACAAGGAAGCAGAGGGAGCCTTGGTCATAGGTAGAGAGGATGTCATTTGTGATTTTCACAAGCGCAGTCTCTGTACTGTGGGCAGGGCGGAAACCGGACTGGAGGGGTTCGAAGAGAGAGTGGGAGAGGTGTGCGCTGAGTTGATTTGCAACAATGCGTTCACTGCCAATGGTGGGCACGCAGGATGGGGAACATGGAGCAGATAGGAGTCAGCTGAGCAGAGGAAGGAAACAAGCCGGTGTGGGTTAGCAAGTCAAGCCCTATTGGTGGTGGGGAGGGTGGTAGAGGGGGAGGTTTGGGGAAGAGAAAACTGAATTCTTTCCAATTGTAATTTCACAAACAAACCTCCTTTGTGTGAGGGATTTACTGCCTGGTGGTCCTGATTGATGTTTGTTCAGTACCGTGAGTCCACAAGCCTCTACGGTACTGAGCATCAACCAATAATGGAGGATTGCACTTGGAAAACTGAATCTCAATGCAGTCGTCTTGCAGTGCACATGTTGAGCATGCACCTGCCTCCGAGAGTGAAACCTGATCATACATTAATCAGTTCTGTACACAAGTTTACTGACCCAGAGGATTTTTTAAAGGTGATAGTTAAGGTCTTTATTTGCCAAAGTGATTCATATTTGAAGATATGAGGTGAAATTTATAGCATTTCATCTGCATTATCTCCCAAGCCCATCAACCCAATTCATATCATGCTCCAATGGCTCTCTGTCTCTGAAAAGATCACTCTCACACACAAATCCCTTCACACCCACATCTTCGCTCAATTGGCACAGGTTTCGGCACATCCCACAACTCATCTGCGCCACAATCGTGGCCGTGCCTTCAGCCACATTTCCCCCAACCTCTGAAACTCCCTGCCTTCAAGTCCTCTGCCTCGCCCCCAGTCTCTTTGTCTATCTTTAAAATCCTAACTGAAGACCTACATCTGCAATTCCACCTATGGTCACCTCTACCTCTAGCTCCCTTCCCCCTTGTTTGGCGTCCAAGCCCGCCACTATGCCACTCGCCAAAACAATGTTCAGCATGAAGGGCGGTATATAAGTGCAAGTTACTGCTGTTGTACAAGGTGCACCTTATGAAATATCACAAATTTCACCTTTATGCTTCACTACATTAAAAGAACAGTTGTTGTCTTTAATAATTGTATGATTAGCACTTTACATCAGTCACATACACAGACCTCCAGGGATGGGCTGGACTCGCTAACAGTAAAGAGATATTTCCTTATGGAATAAAATGGACATCCAGCTAAAGATTTGACCACATTTTACTAAAACTTGTATTTTCTGTGAGATCTTAGGCTGGTGGCCTCCCATCCATACTACAATCTGCACAAAATTCTATCTATTGATGATCTTATGCCTAACAAGACCCTCGACTGGTAACAGTTCTGTATGGAGGACATGAACAGTCAAAGCTTAGCATGTGATCGTCATCCTCCTTTCCCATCTTCAAGTAGCAACTGAAACCATCCTCTTCGACTGTGCTAACAGTCACCTCCCACCTCCCCCCGACTTAGCATCGTACTTCGCCCGTCAAGTGTCCTGGGACGCTACCCTGCATAAGGGGCGCTATATAAATGCAAGTTGTTGTTGATGACATTCGAAGTCATTTAGCCATCTACATGCAGTAGATAATACTGATAATATGCTGTGATTCAGAGTGTATGACTTTTATCATAGAAGATTTACTCTTGCAAGTGCAGCAGAACACCAATTGGTTGCTTGTCAGCTTATGCAAATCCGTGTTTATACGTTTGTACTTCAAAGAAAGAGACAGGCACAGAGTCAGAGAGAGTCGTAGAGAGAGAGACAGAAGAGAGGGTTAGATAGATTCTGTGGACCTGCCTGGCTTTTCTCTTCAGAGCCAGCTGAATGGCTGTGGCCTGGGATACTGGGAGTATTTGGCATGAGCATATAACAGAACATTGAACATTGCAGCATAGCAAGCATGAGAGGCAACGGGTACAAGAGGTACCACATGTGAAGTTCACACGGGGTGGGAGGAGAGGCAAACCACCTGTGACATTGCACAGGGTCTTCACAATAACATTATTAACAGACAAATAATCTTAGTAACAGACAAACATCATACACCCACCCCTCCGCCCGCTCCTTCTCTTAACATGCTTTCTTTGCACATCTGCATGGTGAGCATTATAGTGGGGGTACCACTGCAATGTCACCACATCAGATTGATAAAGAGATGGACAATTTTCAAGGAACAGACTGAAAGAGAAGCACATTTCCTGCTGGTGATATTACAGCACTTTGCTATTTCGGGTTCTTCCCCCATTTGATGAAAGCAGGAGCTCTGCTCTCAGTCACTCTGTGCTTTATGAACCCTTTCTCCAAGCCATGTGTTAACAAGATTATTGTAATAAATATGTTAAGCTAACCTTTGAGAGGGTACGTTACTCGGCATATTCTCTGCATTAACGGGATGAAAGCTGGAAAACAAATATCCAGAGAATTCCAGAGCCTTTTTAGGAGGCTGGACGTGGTTTCGTCAATAAGCCACATTCCAGGACATTTACATACACACACGCACATGCATACCGCCATTAGAACTCTTCTGAAACACATAACAAGGGTCACAAGGGAAATCCTTTTCGGTGTCATGCTTACTCTGTTGAACCAGAAATTGTTGTTCATTTTAGCCACAGAGAGGAAACAATGGTATGAAAATTGATGCAGCCTGGTTTCTTTTAAAGCTGTGTCAAATCCAGCTCAAAACCTGTTCAAAGTCACTTCACTTAGCATTGACTAAAGTCATCCACATTGCGTTTATTTTCCAAACCATAGCGTAAGTGTGAGTTTACTTCCATTTAGTCGTAGTAAATGTGTTATCATTGGGAAGTACCAACGTCTTGATGTTAACCCAGTTCATTCAAATATAATAGGATTTGCAATGCTTCACGCCAGAGAATATCAAGAATCTTGAATCCTTTACTGCGATGTCTCAGACTCTCACTGTAGCTCTGTTTCGATCACTGTTAACAGGCATTAAAATTTTCATTGCAATCTGACTTCAGAATATTCTATACACCAATCCTTTTTTCAAAAAACGTGTATTCATCTTGCTTTAGGTAATTATTTTAATGTTTGTTCACCCTCTCGATAAAGTGGATATAAAGTCTGTGACAAATTAATTTGTCATTTCATGAAATGTACTTGGAATTGACAAATGAGACTCCCAGAAAAACTTTCCAATGTAGAAACGCATTGCACGTCTGTACTTATTGCAGTGCATGCATTCCCATTTGTTTCACCAGTTTCATGAAACTCACCACTGGTGTGTGTGTGAATTAGTTAGGAAGGCATTTATTAGTCGAGTAAAAAAACTTTTGGTAAAGTGGTTGTTTGATATTATTCAAAGCAGTGGTGTGCTACACTGGCTTTGTCAGGTTTCAAAGTCCCGCTGGAACATTTTACACAGGTACAATTCTCATGTCAAATCCCATGTAGATGTTGGTGCTTTATTCATCAACAACAAAAATAAAATTACATTTATACAGTGCCTTTCACGTCAGAAGGGGGCCCCAAGGCGCTGGACAGTTAAGGGTTTGCACCCGAGTTGATGGTTGGAATTAAGAGGGGTGGAGGATAGAGGAGATGGGAGAGTGGCTGAAAGCACAACTTCAGTAATGACTCGGGATTATCAACAATGGAGATGTTTTGTAAAAAAAAAATCGGCCATGTCTTACTGAAGAATATCTCATAAGTGATGCTTAGTTTATACCTTCCCTGTTGTTTCACAGTGGTAAACACAGTGGGTGTTTCCCACCCTTGGCATTGACAGTGTGGTCAATGCTGTGTAGCAGACAGTTTGAAAAACACTGCATCTCTTTGACTGTTTGCTTTATCAAGGCCACGATTCCTGCCTTAATAACTTGGGAGAGAGTTCCTCTGCCCCTGTCACTAGTGGCCAGACATTCCTTGAATGAGAAATGTTCCCCTGGGCTACCTCTGAATAAGGGCCATGCTTCTCATCTCCAAATACATTTTATTTTAGCTTAAAAAAAGTAAACCACGATCCTGGATTTATTACAGAGGATGAACTTGAAAGAGATACAGTCTTATCTGCATCCCATTGAAGAAATGGCTTGATTTCAACTTGGTTCAGGATTGTTATTGTAACTGGGACTGAGTCACCCATTCTGTCCCAACAGCTGAAAGCAGGCAAATTCTTCACAGAACACGTACATTTTATTTTTATAAAGTACTAAAAACAAAAATATGTTTTAGAATTAACAAAAAAAAGGGAAATTCAGTTCATTTTTGAGAATTATTCAAGATAAAAAGGATGCAAGTCGAAACGTATAATGCGAGTCTTCACGGCGCTTTAGTGGAAGCACATTAAAGCGCCAGCAATGTGAAAAAGCACCAGAAAGCCCTCACTTAGTGAAAGCCCTCACTAAGCTGCATATGAATAGGCAGGCACAAGCTTTAGCTAGAATAAACATCAACCAACGGATGTTGAAAGCCAGTCATTCCAAAGCACCAGCAGCAGTGCATATTTCCCCTTAACCCCAGCATGCTGCGTGAATGTTCTAGCAACTTGTTAAAGCCCCCCCACACTCCCACCCTAACCATGTTATATCTAAAATAGCTGTCGATCACACACCTATTAACACCATACCAACCTGTCCGCTCCGTCTTCTCGGCAGGCACTGGCCTGCTTCGTGTCCCCCGCTCTACCCGTCCCACCTTCGGCGGTCAGGCCTTCAGTTTTTCTGCCCCCACCACACGGAATCCTCCACCTCGCTCCCTCCCTTGCCTCCTTCAAGACCCGCCTCAAGACTTTCCTCTTTGGCCATGCTTTCGGCAACCCTCCCCACCTCTACCTTTCACCCCTCTTGATTCCAACCCCCAGCTCAGGTGTAAACCCTTTACTGTCCAGCCCCTTGAGACGTCCTTCCAACGTGAATCATAGATTCATAGAATTTTACAGAATAGGAGGCCATTCGGCCCATCGTGTCTGTGCTGGTTCTTTGAAAGAGCTACCAACTAGTTCCACATCCCCGCTCTTAACCCATAACTCTGCATTTTTTTCCCCTTTTAAGTACCTATCTAATTCCCTTTTGAAAACTATTACAGAATCTGCTTCCATCACCCATTCAGGCAATGCATTCCAGACCGCAACAACTCTCTAAAGAGTAAAAAGGATTCTCCTCGGCTCCCCTCTGGTTATTCTGACAATTATCTTAAATCTGTGTCTTCTTAAAATCCATTCACCCACCTGCCAGAGGAAAGTTTCTCCCTATCTACTCTATCAAAACCCCTCATAGTTTTGAACATAATTTCTTTTGAAAGGCGCTATATAAATGTAATTTGTTATTGCTGTTGTATTTTCCACTAGCAATGAAGAAACACTCGTCTCAGTCTACAACAGCCAATCAGTGCGCAAAAGTCCCAATTTCTGTTTCACAAGTACTTATGGTACTGTTTCATTGCATCCCTGTTTGAGGGAAATACTGTGCTGTTTCGTATTCCTCGATGTTGTATAACTACACTTGCATTCCCCCACGATGGAGATCCCAACTTCCTGTTTTGCTGTTTGGTTGTGCGTAAAGTCCCTGATGGATCCAATGTCCCTTTCTTTGAATTTTAAAAGTTTTCATTCTGTGTCAATATTCACTTAAATAAATAATAATATGGCGCATTTGATATGGCACCTTTCACTTTGAGAGGAAACACTTCACAGGTTTTACTTTAATGATTGTATTTTGTAGCTGAAGGTGGCATCCAATTTGTGAACAACAATGTCCCACAAACAGCCATGAAGTGAATGATCGAATTTTATCGGGGGATTGTTGGCCAGGACACTGGCCATGGAAGATTTAGCATTCACCTGAACAATCAGAAGGGACCTTGGTTTAACATCTCATCTGAAGGACATCTCTGACAATGCAGGGCTGATGTGTCAGTCTAGGCTACCAATTCCAACAACAATAAAATTACATTTCTATAGCGCCTTTCAAGTCAGGAGGACATCCCAAGGTGCTGGACAGTCAGAGTTTCGGACCTGAGCTGGGGGTCGGAATCGGGGAGGGCGGAGGGCAGGCGGGGAAGCAGGGTGATCGAAAGCACGGTCGAAGAGGAGGTTCTTGAGATGAATCTTGAAGGAGGCAAGGGAGTGGGAGAGGCGGAAAGACTGTGGGATGGAGTTCTAGAGAGTGGGGGCAGAGTGGCAGAAGGCCCGCCCGCCAATAGTGGGGTGAGTGAGATGGTGGACGTGAAGTAGACCGGAGCCTGTTGAGCGGAGGGAGCGAGCAGGATGGTAGGGGGTTAGGAGGTCAGAGAGGTAGGGGGGAACAAGACCATGGAGGGTTTTGAAGGTGAGGACCAGGATCTTGAACTGTATCCTCTGTGTGATGGGAAGCCAGTGGAGTCGGGCTAGGATGGGGGTATTAGTCCCAAGTCCCAAAGTCTAACAACCTTCTAATTCAGAGGCAAGAGAGCTACCAATTGAGTCACGCTGACACTTAACAACATATACAAAATTATCTTCTCTAACACTGCCCCACCCATCCTTTTGAAAATATTTCTATTTCTCACTCTTCAGCAGCTTTGTACAGTGTCTATTTCAGCAGTGAATGAAAGCCCCGGCTTGGGCAAGAGACTTTTCTTGGGTGTAAATCTCTTTGTCAATGAGCCAAAGCGGCAGCTAATTAATAACGTATTTAACAGGTTTTTAAAGTCCAGATGGTATGTAATAGGGCATAATACGCACACACTCAATGTAACAGCCCTTTCGATAGAACTTAATAGCCTCAACTCTTGCAAATTCCCTCTAGTATCCTCTAAAAGGACTAGCATTTCAGTAGCCATTTGGATCATGTGTAAAATCCAGCTCTCCAAATAAAATCCAAATAAAAGCCCTTGATGATGTGTAAACCCCTCAGCTCTGTGTTAAAACCTCCAGCTTTGTATAAAAACCCCTGGCGAGGTTGGAAAAGGCCCGTGCGAGGTGGGAAAAGCCCCTGGCAAGGTGGGAAAAGCCCCTGGCGAGGTCAGAAAAGCCCCTGGCGAGATGGGAAAGCGCATGCGAGCATGTGGCGGTACTCACGTTGACAATGACCCCAGGACCTGCGGTTCCATCCCCAGCAGCAATCCACTCGGAGCCCATAGCGACAGAAGCCACCCGAAGTGGAGCGAAGTTTGCGGACCCTGAACAGAAAACACTGTTATAGTAACACAAGCGGGAACACGAAAGGGTTAAAGGGAGAGTCACAGGGGATTGGGTAAAAGGTAGAGACTTAGCACAACAGCACAACCTGGAGAGAATTCCTGAGCCGGGAGTGCAACTTTTTTCTCTTCGCACAAAATAAAATCAACAAAAACGAACAACAAATTGCATTTATATAGTGCCTTTCACATCTGCTTTTTGTTTGGTCTGAGTCAGAGACTGGCCGAGGAAAGAGATGCCAGTCCCTAGAATAATAATAATAATCTTTGCATTTGGTATAGTGCTTTATCATGTCAGCAGGATGTCTCAAAGCGCTTCAGAGAAATTATTGTGAAATGGAGTGACTAGGCAAAACACAGCAGCACAATTGCACACAGCAACGTCCCACAAACAGCCATGAAACAAGTGACCAGTTTTATTTGGAAGGTTGTTGGCCAGGACTCCAGGAGAGAGAAACTCCCTCTTCCCCTTAAACACTGCCAAGGGATCCCCAACGTCCACCTGAGCAGGCAGATGGGAAGTTACAGTCCAAACCCCAGAAATCACTGCATGTTAGAGCGCTCGTAGACAGATCTCTGGATTGCTGCATTCCTGTACATTGCTGAATAAGTACACCACATCTAACGCAAGCCTGGGCATGAGGGCACACGGTGCCTGTATGTCTGACACACTTTAATCATGAGCATCTTACAAATAGGTTAACATCTTTTCATTCAGCCATTCCTACACATTGCATGCACTTTGATCTTTTTTTATTTACAGAGAAAATATGATTAAATAAATAAATGAATAATCCATTGCATGACTTATTTTCACAATAACTTCAGGGTTAAACTTGGCAACAATATAATAATAATAATAATCTTTGCATTTGATATAACACCTTATCAAGTCGTTGAGATGTCTCAAAGCACTTCACAGAATATACCGTAAAGTGAACTGACCGTATATTTGTGGGCGAAAGGCAGCAGCCAATTGCACACACCAATGTCCCACAAACAGTCATGGATTGGGTGACCAAATTATCATTATTACTTTTTTTTTCACAAGTGTCATTCCTGCGAATTGTGTATATGAAATTGCACATTAGAATACATCAACAGAAAGTAATAAGTTGCTGAGCTATTTTCCCGAGGTGCGTGTTAATAATAATGCTTGCATTTGATTTAGCGCTTTATCGGGTAGTTGAGACGGCTCAAAGCGCTTCGCAGGATATACCGTAAAGTAAATTGACTGTATATTTTGTGCAGCGAAACGCAGCAGCCAGTGTCCCACTGTCAGTCCTGGATTCAGTTTAGGGATTGTTGGAGGGGTTATTATCCCCAGAAAGCCATCTGCTAACAACTGGATTCCTACTTGCTGCGGGTAAACAGGGGTGTCGGGGGTCATGGGGTGGTTGAGACCTCTCAAGGGGCTTCACAGCATATAATGTAAAGTGAATCGACTGTGTATTTTGTGGGTGAAACGTTGCTGTGTGAGTTGTGCAGCTGCAGACGAGTGCCTCTTTCTTACCTGCTGCTGCTGCTGCTGCTGCTGGTGCTTTGCTCCGCCGCTGCCCACAGAGAGAGTGAGGACACAGTCAACACTTTCACGAATAAAGCCCACATCTTCATCCGCTCGGCACACAGAGACCCCACTCCACTCCTCCTGGCGATGGATGGGCTTGAGATGCGCCTGGACCTTTGGGTTTTGCAGCTGCTGTCTCTGGTTCCCTGTTGGGGCACTGTCTCCCTGGAGAGGAGAGGAGAGCTGAGCTGCACTCACTCACTGACTCACTGACTCACTCACTCACTCACAGTGGATTGACTTCTGTCCCAGATCAGCCAGGGAGGAGATCGACCCTTGTTTGCTCCTCCTTCACCTCCCTCTACCCCCCCCCCCCCCCCCCCTGGGAAAAAGGATCACTTCTCCTGGGAAAAAAGTCTTGTGAGAACTCCCTTTGAGAGAAAGAAGGGTGGATCTGGTCAGTGGATCACTCACTCCCCAGCCTTTGGAGGAGAGACATAGCAGCCCTGCAAACAGTCCTGGAGAAATGCCAGTCCTCTCTTCTGGTGGTTGGATCTCCTCACTGTTAGTGATCTGTCTGTCTGTCTGTCTGTCTGACTCAGTGACTTGTGCTGCAGATTGCACACTTGGTCTGAGTGCAGTTTTCTGTCGCTCTCTCCTCTCCTCTCTTCCCCCCACCACCACCCCCTGTGCAGTCAGATCTCTCTGCGGTGTTGCCTCTCCCTAGTGGAGAAATCTGATTTCATCTGAGACATGCAGTGAGGAGGGGAGGGAGGGAGGGAGGGAGGGGAGTGTGGGGGGTGGGAGGGAGAGTCAGAGTCAGTCAGTGTGTGGCACAGGGAGGTTAAATCTGCTCTGTCTGTGTGTGTGTGTGTTGTGGCATGATATGAACACTGGAGAGAGTCAAGAGAAAATGTGTGTGTGTGGGGAGGGGGGTGTGGGGGAGAGAGAGATCAGCTCCCCCCCCCCCCCCCCCACTCAGCTGCTGTCAGTTCATCGCATTAACATTGCAAGTGTAATATCCTTCTGCATTGCCTGTTTGGTATTTTGCACGCAGCCCAACTCAGCCACAGAGAGAGGGAACTCTCCAGAGAACAGGACATGTCAAAACAGAAGACCCACACGTTAAATGAAACGGTCGTTCAGGGTTTAAAGGTAGAAAACGTGCATCAAAAAAAAAGCAGGTTACACACGCACTGAAAAGGAGTTGGGCAGTACAAGCACAAGCCCAGTGTCACTGTGTGGTGTGCAACTGCTTCAGTCGATCTGTGCACTTTTGTTTTATTTTATCTCCGTAAGAGTTGCACATCACGCTAACTGAGCAGGTGGTGGTGTGTCTGAGGCTGAGGGTGATCAGCACTGACCCATTGCCAGCATCATCTATCTGCAATGACTCGAGGACAAGACAGACAGGACATGCGAACACAGTCCTCTGGCTTTAAAGACTATTTCTAAAAGGGGTGGCATTTGGAATTGTACCCTTCACTTACAATTCACTCCAGCTCTGTGTTAAACCGTGGCTGAGAGCAGATCTGACACCAGATGTTAACCTGTGCTGTTTAAACCATTTTCACGTGTTATTCCCCCTGTGTTAACGAATCCTGACACATATAGTAAGAGACAGCATTCGCGAGGCGAGATTGAGACTATGAAACAGACCAAGAAGGTCACTGATCCCTTGAGTCGTTTTTGAGTAAAAGTTATCTTGAATAGAACATATCCCACGATCACTATCCTTGTTTAGATTTATGGGTCACCGTACAGGTTCTGCAGCATGAATTGACTGCAAAAGCTATCTTTTCATCACTGTTGCCCATGACACTCTCCCCAAAGATTGCAGTGATAAAACAATAACCCAAATCGAAGGTAAGCAGTGTTAAGTGGGGAGTGTACCAGGTAGGTAAGAGCATCTTAAAGTCTTGTGCTGGGTTAGCTCTTCTGCAGCTCTCACTTAAGAGCTGCCCTGGTATATAACACAGCACTTGGGGGGGGGCAATCTCAGCTGGGAATGTAGGACCCTCACAGAGCAACTCAAACTAAGGTTAGCAATTGCTCACCCCTAACAGTGCACTCGAATTCGTCCCAATAAAGCAGTTTTTTTACAAAAAAAATAAGATCAATAAAATAATGAAGAATTTTGTTTTAGTGAACAATAACTGAAGCACCAGATATATTCAGTCTATTCTAAGATGGCACGGTTTTCCTTATGCAGTACATCCAAATTGCCTGGGTGTATTTCGCTTGAGAACATTTTAGCACATGCAAGAGTTGACAAGACAGTGTGACAGATTGCACGCTGCGCCAGTACAGGAATAAACAGTTTCACTGAGAGTGCATGAGTGCTGGATGGGGGTCTGCTAGTGCTCTTACAGACCTCCATCAGTTAACGATTGTTGCAGTACCACCTAGTCTGTAAAATAGCACCTGAACTCAGCCCGACCCAGCATGTCAGAATGATGCTGCATCGCAGTGATTGAGTCTGTCTGCAAAGTCTTCAAATAAATAAATGCAATCAATTATGCCGTGTGCTTTTTTTTTTGCAAAGCAAATGCTTCCTCTGTTGTTCACATCAAAAGGTCCATTACTTGGGGGAGAAAGAGAGAGAGAGAGAGAGAGAGAAAGAAAGGGTTGTGACAAGGGGAGAGATGACCACAGAGCCAGGCTGCAAACGTTGCTCTGCCGGTGCAAGCGAGCGATGCAAGCAAAGGCATTCCCAAAACAAACCAGAGTGGCATTTAAGTGAGTAACAACGAGCAGTCTTTAAGCAAAAAAAACATTTGGACATCAATTATCAAGATACCTGCAGCATGAATCAGGAGTACACTGAGAGAGAGGGTGAGGGAGCAATGCGGGTGAGGGAGCAATGCGGGTGACAGCAAACAACTGCAGAAGGAGGTAATCAGCAGAGTCCAGTCTCACAAAAAGAAAATGCTCATTATTTTGTCATATCTTCAGCTATGAATCCCAATTTGTACCTATCCCTGCTTTCTACTCAGCAGACCAGAACCACTTTTCGAATATCATCATTAATATTTCTCTTTCATAAACCTTTACAACTGATGCAACCGCTTGCATGGATCTGATAATTTTTGGATATCAAATGGCAAGTCATTTAAAAGAAACAAATAAATACGTTACTAGGATATTTACCGTCTTGCATTACATGGCGTACGGTAATAAGTGATGTTTGAGGTGACTTATGGACAACTTGAGTGGTTCAGAGTTGGTTTGGATAAAATCTGTGGGAGAGACGACAGAGGCTGGGATTGTTCTCTTTAGAGCAGGGAAGGTTATGCGGAGATTTATTGGAGGTGTTCAAAATTATGAAGGGTTTTGATAGAGTAAATAAGGAAAAACTGTTTCCATTGGCGGGTGGGTCGGTAACTAGAGGGCACAGACACAGCACAATACAAAATTACATTTGTATAGTGCCTTTCACATCGGGAGGATTCAAGATAATTGATAAAAGAACCAGCGGAGAGATGAAAATGTTTTTTTCCTAGGGAGTTGTTCCGATCTGGAATGGACTGCCTGAAAGGGTGATGGAAGCAGATTCAATAATAACTTTCAAAAGGGAATTAGTTATACACGTGAAACAAATAAAAGTTATAAAACGAATAAAGGGTGTAAGGTTATGGGGAAAAAACAGGGGGGTTGGGTCTAGTTGGTAGCTCTTTCAAAAGCATGATGGGCCGGCCATGTGGCCTCCTTCCTTGCTTTAAGATTGTATGATTCTAGGAGTATCATTGGTGTAAAATGATGGGCCAGGGATAGATGGCTTAAGTGACTGAATTGGAAGGAATGGAAGGAAGCTCATGGTGAATAAAAGTTAGTAATATAGAATAGGAGGTGGACTTGAGGTGACATCTTAAAAATGGTAATCAGCCTTGCAATAGAAGGCCGGCAATGGTAAATAGGAAAACATGTTGGGTCAGTGACTAGTGCAGTTCTGCAGCTTTTGTTCCAGGACCTCTACTGATCACACAATTCATGAATGCTGGGAAGGAGAGAATTTATTGTAATATTTGTTGAAAATATCAAGCTATATGGGAAGCTGAATATCATGAGGATAACAACATTCAGGAAGATATGAAGCAATTCAGCAGATGAATCAGATGGAACTTGAATTAATGTTCATTGAAAACATGGTATCTAATTTGTGGGGGTGGCAGGGTGGCATCCCAGAGCACTTTATAACAGACATTAAAGTCACCTTCACTCCTTATTCCAACATCAGTGCTTGTGTATTCGGCCACTCTTGTCTCCTTTTTCTGTAACTTTCTCCCCAAATCCCCTTGCCTTGCTCCTTCCCCTTCTACTTCTTAAAAACCTGTGACCATGCCTTTAGTCAACACCCTTCAATTGTTTTCTCTACTCAGCACTTCCTTTGAGCCTCTTAAGCACTATATGATACATATCACCAATGAGAATATATACATGGTATGATATACTCCCACTCTAACATGGAGTAAAATATATCCCACTATTATTCTTATTTAAATTGTGGGCATCAATACCTTTGTGTAAGTTGTATGAATTGATTATAGAGCTGTCTTTTCATCACTGTTGCCCATGACACTCTTCGAAAAATTATAAATACAAAACCATCAACAAAATCAAAGGTAACCATTGCGAGACATTGTTCCACGTGGCTATATAAATGCAAGTTGCTGTTGTAAGCGATGTTAAATGTATAAATATTGTATTAGTAAGAATTCCCAGACTCTGGGGAGTGTTCCAAGCAGGTAAAGCATTACCTTTTAAGGTATCTTCTGAAATCTGTTTTTGAGGCTGAACAACCCAAACTTAATCTAGTTATTTCACATACCTCAGCCTCCCCCACCCAAGTGCGGATTCATCGCATTGTTCGTTTCTGTATTGCCTCTCGGGGACAGGGCACTGCTCCTGAGACCTGGACAACCCATCATGGTTACAGTGGCCAGAAATGTGTGCAGTATACTGCAGTCTAACCAGACCACTGTAAGCTTGAGCATGACTTCTACAATCTAAATTCAACTAGCCATATAGCACAGCAACATGTTTGCTTCCTTTATTATTGTCTCACCCTGGTTTGTACATTGTCAACATCAAGTCAACAGACAACTTTAGATCTCCAAACTTGCTTCGTACATTCTACCCCATTTGCCTTTTTTAAAATTCCTATATGCATTACCTTGGTTTATCTGTGTTCATATCTTATGTATCAGTGATTAGAATATGAGCAATCCTGTTGATCTCTCTTTATAAGATCTGGTTATTGATAAGATTCAGCTCAAGGATATTATATCACAAACTGTCTCTTCAGGCAGCAGGTACTCATACAAACAAAATACTTATGTTCCTGCTCAGACTTGTCCTAGCCTAGTAT